AAATCCCCCATCCGGCCGCCATTTTCGCTGCCTTGGTAAGTGAGGGCAGGGCGCGAAAACGCTGCGGGCGGCCATTTTCTGCACCCGGTGGCCATTTTGGAACCGCCGATCTGCTGTTTTCTAAACATCACAATGCGAAGATCGGTAAGCGAAACGCTTACCGATCATCGCAATGCGATTGCATTAGCGATCGCAAAAAACATGTCGCTATGCGGATTCATCGTTAAACGGTGCGCTCGTTAAGCGAGGCACCACTATATTAGCATTTTTATTTAATTTAAAATATTTTACCCTGCCCTTTTCCTTGAAAAAAGGGCACCCAAGGCAGCTTACATCCTTAAAAGACCATATTTAAAAGCTGAAAACAGTAAGGATACAAACATTTAAAAAGGATCAAACACATCCCATAGTAAAAACGGCAAACGGGATCAACCCCAAACACAGATTCAAAGCGACAAGACCTAAGAGAGCTTTGGGTAGTGTGGGTGGCATATAAGTTAAATAAATAAATAACATTCCATTTAAGAACCCCACTCAGGCCGCCTGTCACTCAGGGCAAGCCTGCCTGAAGAGAGAGGTCTTGGCCTGCTTGCAGAAGGACAGCCAAGATGGGGCCAGCCTGGCCTCCAGTGGGAGGGAGTTCCAAAGTCTGGGGGCAGCGACAGACAAAGACCTTTTCTGTGTTCCCACCAAAGACACCCGTGTAGGTGGTGGGATTGAGAGAAAGGCCTCTCCTGAGGGCCTTAATACTCAGGCAGGGTCATGAAGGAAGATGTCTTTGAGATCGCTTGGACCCAAGCTATTTAAGAATGTATAGGCAATGGTGTGGTACCTTCAGAGGAAGCTTTTAACTAGTCCTTCTGACTGGGCTGCTGCCGGCTTAGAGAGGGGAGAGGCAGGGCAAACAAAAAAGCCAAAGAAGGTAGGGGATTTGGGAAAGAAAAGCTGGGATGGGTCGACGAAAAGGCTGAATGGAGGAGGAAACGGGGGGGCAAGAAAATAGGCTCCAACCTATGGCCAAGCAGCAAACAGGTGAAAGCTTGCTTTCTACACTGGCTTGCAATGGAGAGTGACAGCTAGAATTTCCTTTTTAACAAGTATATTCATGCTGAGAGGTGCTGCTAGGCAATAGACGTACCCCTTCCTGGGGAAACGGTCCTTTTTAATTCAATGGGATTTGATTTCTGCACATCCTCATAGGATTATGGCTGTTAGATTTCACATGTCCTCCTATCAAACGTGATGGTAAATGGCAGACATTACGCAACCATGCTTGAACGTATCACTCTTGGCCTTACTTTTTAACAGGATGAAGGATTTAAGAGTACAAACCTTTAGCATCCATTTTGGCTTTAAGAACAAATTTTTAGCCAGCGATGTCGTGTACGCGGCAGCTTCCTTAATGGAAAATGTAGAGAAAGATGAAAGTGGAACGGATAATTTCATCAAGGCTTTGGACAGTCTTTCCAGGTAATGTTCACTACTCTAAGCTTGTGTGGTTTCTTTTATAACTCTTAAACAATAAGTCTTTGGCATGTCATATGCAATTTCAGGATACCACTCCAGCTGTGTCTTTTTTATACATAGCCCATCCTTGTAAGAATGTCCATGCAAGTGGATATTCATAATAAGTACATTAGAACCATGGTATATGCAGGGGATTGGTTCCAAGCCATCCCCCACCAGTGGATGCCAGAAACTGTAGATAATTGTGAACTTTAGAGAGAGAGAGAGAGAGAGAGCATAGTTTCTGGTTCACACTACTGTAGTGGCCATTTCTGGTAATATACCTTGGATATGTATGTATTTCTGGGGATTTTATGTAATATTTTGAGGCAGCAGATTAAGTGAAACTGGATATTGATCCCATGGATAGAGGTGTCACCCTCCAGTAAAACAGCTTTGTTATATAAATTTTTTCTTGTGGCCATTTCTGGTAATATACCTTGGATACATATAAATATCTACGTATTTCTGGGGATTTTATGTAATATTTTCAGGCAGCAGATAAGTGAAACTGGATATTGATCCATATGGATAGAGGTGTCGTCCTCCAGTAAAACAGCTTTGTTGTATAATTTTTTTTTCCTCCTTCAGGAGTAACCTGGACAAGTTACATCAAGGACTGGAACTGGCAAAAAAGCAACTGTGTGCCATTCAGCAGACTGTAGCCAGCTGCATCTGTACCAATCTGATAATCAACCAGGGACCATTTCTTTACTGCTACCTCATGGAGGTAAAAATTTGCCTTCATGCTTTGAAATTTTTGATTTTGTTTGTTTATTCAATGTATAGACCTCCATCTAGCAAATTGCTACTTTGGGTGGTGTACAACAAATTAAACATACATTACACAGGAATACAGACAATGGAGTATTCCAGACAATAAACCATAACTCCAGACAGGCAGCAAAACCATATGCTTTGAAATTTTTGATTTTGTTTGTTTATTCAATGTATAGACCGCCATCTAGCAAATTGCTACTCTGGGTGGCGTGCAACAAATTAAACATACATTACACAATAATACAGACAATGGGTTATCCCAGACAATAAACTGTAACTCCAGACAGGCAGCAAAACCATTTCTAGAACATGCTACAAGAGTACATTATTCTCCTTTCTCTGGTGTCCCAACTAGCTTTCTCTCCAAAGGCTTATTTGAATAGTTCTGTTTTTAGGAGCTTTTTATATATACAAAGGGAGGACGCCTGTCATATTTCCAGCAGGAGAGCATTCCATAGAGACGGCATCACGGCAGAGAAAGCCCAAAGTTTCTGGTTCCCATTTTTCGGGCTTCTCTGGGGTTTAACACCCGCAAGTATGAGGTCTGCGCAGACCAGGTCAGACAGACAATAAGACTTGGCAGAAGACGTTCAGACAAGGAGCAAGATCCCAAACCATTTAGAACTTTAGATAATTAGAGCCAAGACTTCGAACCTAGCATGGAAGCAAAAGCTGATCTGGTCTCCCAGACCATACTTGAAGGTTCAAAGCCAGAGTACAGTGGTACCCAACAAGACGATGTTAATTCATTCTATTGAAATAGCTGTCTTGTGAAAACATTGTCTTGCAAAAAGCGTTTCCCCACTGGAATGCATTGAAATCCGTTTAATGCGTTCCATTGGGGAAAAGTCGCCATCATTCTGCGAAAATCGCTCATAGGGAAGCCATTTTGTGAAGCGCCGATCAGCTGTTAAAACCGCTGTCTTGCAAAGCATCGGTCCCGAAAATGCTCGTTTTGCGAAGTGCCGATCAGCTGTTAAAATCGTCTTGCAAAAAATGGTCTGTGAAAATTGCCCATAGGAAACACTGTTTTGCGAAGCGCTAGAGCTATCACAAAAATCCATTGTCATGCAGATTCGTCGTTTTGCGAGGTCATTGTCTAGCGGGGCACCACTGTAGTTTAGCTTTACTCATTTAACACATAAAGGCTGCAAACTGGTAGTCAGTCTCAGCCATAGTGGGCCCATGAAATCCAGGGAGATTTGGTGCGTCGACATTTATGTAAGTTCTATTGATTCATTGGGCCTACTCTTGTGACTTACTACTGGATTTCATCTTCTGTAAGTCGCTCTTTGAGAACACAGGTGCATGAGAAGGGTCGGTTTGGTTTTGAAAGGAGTGTCACGAGATGAGAGGTTTGACGGTGGCTCTTTATTACCTAGTTGTCTAGTTTGTCGTGATTTAGGAAACCAAGGAAAATGGAAAATCTTGTGGTCCTTCAGGGTTGTTTTTTTACTCTAAAATTTGACTATAGATGTAAACAGAGCTGCCAGCCATCCTGAATATTATGGTTATGACCCAAGGAGCCATATTCTCTTTAACTCTTTATTTCTTTCTACATTTGACAAGCTCCTGAATCATAAAGAGAATATGATTGGAAAATGCAGAGGGGGAATGAACTGCCCTGATGTTAGTGTATGTGGAAGTCCAGCGTAATTCTGTTTTTCTTCCCAGGGCACACCAGATGTAAAATTGTTCTCCAGACCGGTATCATTACGTCTGCTCAGTAAACACTTACTCAGATCCTTTGTTTGTTCTGTAAGTAACATTCGGTTTTTATGTTTCCTCAAAATAGATATCCTTGTTATCTACAGGGGTCTTTCTCTGATTGGTTTTAAACTGCTTTTTATACCATCTTCATACGTGACCCGCCACTGTGAGCCTCATAATGAGGTGTGGCAACACAGCAGGGAAGGAAAGCCTTTTATGAAAGCACAGGGCAGTCTCATTAGGCAGAAGGCTGATGGCTCTGCCTTCCTGGTATGAGCTCAAGAATGATCAATTCTTTTTTTAAAAAAAACTTGGGGGGAAAAAGATTATGTTTAAGTCCAACTGGCTGAATACTCAGTGGTTTAGGCATCTGGCTGCAAAGTCAGAGGTTCGGAGTTTGCTCCTCCACTGTGCCTCCTGGGAGTAGAGCCAGCCTGTGTAGCCTTGGGCCAGCTGCACGGTCCCAGGCTTCCCCCAGAAGAAATGAAGTGTCAACCACTTCTGAGTATTTTCTACCTGGAAAACCCTGGAAAAGGGTCACCATAAGTCAGAATTGACTTGACGGCACACAATTCTTATTCTTGTACTTATTTAACACAACTCGCCCCTACATTAACTCTAGACTATTTTTAAAAATTGAATGTCGCAGTGGAGGAGTCATAACTCGGGACAATTCTGCAGCTGAGTTGCCTAAGGTGGATTACATCTCTTGCTTTTCATCTCTTTGAAGAAGGTGAAGAATGTGCAGATGTACAAGAGAAACAGGGTTATTATCCCCCCCGTCAAAATGTAAAGTCATCCTACAAGAAAATGTCCAATCCCTGTCAAATCTTTTTATTGTCTATTTCATCCACTACTGTGGCATTAAATGTTGTGTTCTTTATTTATTTTAAGACATGCCGTATGGATTAGAGGTGTTTTTTCCTGAGGCTCACTTGCCTCTCTTTAAATCTGGGTGGGCTGAAGCCTGAAATTTGCCAGTGCCATAAAGTACATAAAGATTGGATATGTGTACCATCAAAGAGGAGAAAGTCTATCTGGTGCAGGGAAGGTTTGATCTGGTCCAGGGAAGGTTTGATCTATAATCCTTTCTAGATAAATCTAAACCCCAAACGAGCTCTTCAAAAACAAGGCTACAGGCTTAAAGATTCTGTCTCCGAGCTTTGAGTAATCAAGATGCTTTCTGGGTTCCAGACCAAAAACAAGCGCTGTAAGCTGTTGCCGATGGTGATGGCAGCGCCTATGGATATTCAGCAAGGGACGGTGATCATGGCGGGGATTCCACCTCACACAGAAAGCTCAGACAAAAAGAAGTGAGTGTTTCTTGGCTGATCCTTTAAGATAAGAACCCTGGTAAGCTGAGCTCCACGTCTGGTGTGAGCGAGGCTGGGCCTTTGAATCCCTTGCTCCATGGGAAATCTCAGATTCTGCAGTTGCAATGAAATGGCAAGCTTTGTACACTTCTTTTGTGCTCGTGTTAAGAACCAGCCTGCGGTTAGGGTTGGAGTAGATTTGATCCAGGAGAATCCCGGTCCTTCCTTTCCTGTGAAACTCATTTTCGCTCACTCACTTCGTTAATCTTCATTGTGGTGAAGATACAATAAAGGAAGGAGGGGAAAACCTGACGTCCTTAGGAGAAAGGTGGTGTCATTTGCTCTGTTTGTATCCATGCATATTAAAGTTAGGGCTGTGTCTAGTCATGTGCGCTTTCTGAAAAGTTGCTCTGCACAAAGAAAGCAACACAAAGGATTTTTGCTGGACCAGCGCTCACAATTGTAGTGTCTTCACCCAAGTCCTTTAAAATTGCTCCTGATGGTGGGGGGGATCCTGTGGAACCGTAGAGGCCCCGTCAAACAGAGCAGGAATTGAGCTGGAAGGAAGAAGAGGAGACTAGCAAGAGTCTGATGCTTGGCCTTGCACAACTAGAAATATTTTCTGTTAGGACCAAGTCACTTTTAGATCGTTGTCCTTGATGTGTGTATTTAATGCTCTGTAGGAAAATTCTGACAAACCTATGTTTGCATTTCTTTTCACTCCCTAGTTTTTTTGGAAGAGCCTTTGAAAAAGCAGCAGAGAACACGAATTCTCGGACCTTGCACAACCATTTTGAAATGTCCAGTAAGTAAGCAGGCCATGCTTCTCCTGCCGATTGTGTCTGAGCTGGTGGCAAGTGTAGCTCTGACATTTCTCCAGTTGAGCTGGCTGTTGTTTTTCAGAGGGAGGCCCATGTTGGAGGTACTGGAAGTTAAGCAGCACATAAGGCAGGAGTGGAGAAAGTGTGGCCTGCAGGCTCTTGTCTGCCCATCAAGGGCCTTTTGGTGGCCCCTCGAGCCACCCCAGGGCTCCCTTATGCCTTCTAGGATAAATGGGGGGGATTATTGTTCCTGCTCCTCGAGCGCCCCCCCCAGAGCAGAGTTTTTTGCTTTAGGAAAGTTAGGGGTTCCCTTAAGACACCCCCATGTTCCAAAATCAAAATAGAAATTTGGACACTACTCACATCCCGCCCTCTTATTTGGGGGCTATTTTCACTCATTTCCAGATCTGATGCAACCTATGCCGAGGACCCAGATTCGACCCTTTCTGACTTAAGTGTTTGTTCAGACATGCACACTTATCACTTGATGACAAAAATATATGATTGCATGCATGTATGAAACACTGATTAAAATCAAATGGCTTGCATTCCTTCTGCTGAATTATATTCTGTAGAGACAGAACAGGGAAATAAGTTGGAAGTAACATAATTACTCCTAATAAGTTGTGGTTTTTTCCAGCACAGGGTATAACAAAATCAAATTTTTAAAGTACCACGATGAGTGATAAAATCACTTTATTAAGTAATGTTTGCCAGTTACTTTTTCATTCTTGATGTTTTCCGTGACACACCCCAAATAAAGGTGGAAAGTAATAAAAACAAGTTACAGCAACAATGAATTATTTTCCAAACACTGGAACAAGCAATGGAATGAGTTACTTTTAAAAAGTAACTTTCCAAGCCCTAATTAAGTGGTAAGAAATAGAATAACTGGATGATGTTGGACAAAGCAGTGTATCCGGTAGTCTGTCCTAGGAGCTTTGCTGTCTGAATTTGACTCCTCACAATGTTTAATGGAACCCGCCCAGAGTAGACTTTGTCTAAAAGGTCGGGATAGAAATCACATGAATGAATGAATGAATGAATGAATGAATGAATGAATGAATGAATGAATGAATGAATGAATGAATGAATGAATGAAAAGAACGACACACAGTGGATTAATGCAGTGGTCAGTGTACATCCCAGCCCGGATAGCCTGGAGAACTCCTTCATCTAATTTTGGTGAGATTCTGTCCCAACTAAACTTACTTTCTAATATCTGTTTCTTTTATTTTAGTAATTGAATTGAAAATGGAAGACAGGAGTAAATTCTTGGATGCACTTATTTCTCTTCTGTCCTAACGGTACGGTGGCGCTGAAGATTATTCTTTTTTTAAAATCGCGAACATTTTTCAAAGCTGATAGGTTTTAATGTGATATTGGTCATGCTTTACTTTTAAAAAGTCCCCTCCTCCCTCCACCTCCCTCCCCCCCACTCCCCTAGAAAGGTCTTGATACCTTTCCATTTGTTTTACTTTGTATGTATGAAATATGTAAATCCTGGTATTTTATGTCTGTCTTAATTTTATATTGATTGTATATAAAACTATTTTGGAACAATGGAATTTTAGCTGTAGCCAGGCCAAGTATTGCAACGGGAAACTGTAATCGAATAAACGTTTTATTTCATGTTGCGGTTGATGTAAAGTCCCTATGCTCTCTGGAGAACATCTGTCTTACGCTCCTCTACATAGAACCACTGGGTAGCACCGTGGTTTCAGCATCTTGATGCAGAGCCATCGGCTGGGAGTTCAAATCCCCACTGTGCCTAACCCTGATAGGGGCTGGATTCCTTGATCCATAGGATCCCTTCCAGCTCTGCCCTTCTAAGATATTACAAATAATAACTTGTAAAAAATAGTTGTGCTATGAAGAGCCTCAGGGGCTAGGCCTATCTGTCATATAGGTGGAGTGCCAGGTCACATGAGGAAAATGGTCATCATGACAGAAATGGCTTGCTCTTTCTCTGAAACTCTCAGAGTATTTTCATGCACGAAACGTGCCATTCCAAAATTCAAGTAATATGAAAGACAGCTGATGTAAAAAGTGATTGATAACCATGCAGAAAATTAGAACAGACCAGTGTCTTCTGGTTGAGAATAGCCGTTTCCCCCTCTACCTGCAGCCAAAGAATGCCTACAGACTTTAGTGCTACTCTAGAGAATGTTCAGTGTTTCCATGACGAAAGGAAACCTTTCTGGGCCATAGAGGATTTTTTTAGTGAAAAAAATCACATAAAATTGTCAGTGTTTCAATGGCAGCCGTGCCAGAAAATACGAAATGCATTCTTAGGAGCTGTGATTGTTCACCTGGATTCTGCCACCTTAATGTTTTGAAAGGGTCCCATGCTCCACATAAATATTTTGGAGTTCACAATGGCAATTGTATTCATAGAACAATAGAGTTGGAAGGGACCTACAAGGCCATCAAGTCCAACCCTCTGCTCACTGCAGGAATCCAGATCAAAGCAGATCTGACAGACAGTTGTTCAATTTTCTCTTGAATGCCACCAGCGTTTGAGTGCTCACCAACTCCTGAGGTCATTGGCTCCATTGTTGTATTGCTCTAACAGTTAAGAGGTTTTTTTCCTGATAATCAGCCTAAATCTGGCTTCCTGTAGCTTGAGCCTATTATTGCATGTCCTGCACTCTGGAATGATCAAGAACAGATCCTGCTCCTCTGTATCACTACTTGAATGCATGAATGCTCTGTATGACTACTTGGGGGGAGATAGGTAAAGGTAAAGGTTCCCCTTGACATTTAGTCCGGTCGTGTCCGACTCTAGGGGAGGTGCTCATCTCCGTTTCCAAGCCGTAGAGCCAGCGTTTGTCGATAGACAGTTTCTATGGTCACATGGCCAGCACGACTAGGCACGGAATGCTGTTACCTTTCCACCATGGTGGTACCTATTTATCTACTCGCATTTTTACATGCTTTCGAATTGCTACGCTGGCAGGAGCTGGAACAAGCAACAGGAGCTCACTGTCCTCTGAAAATGCCAGCCACAGAGACTGGTGAAACTTTAGGAAGAAAAACCTTCAGAACACGGCCAAACAGCCCAAAAAAACTACAACAGCCATTTTATCTTTACTCTTTTTTTAAAAATCCAAAACACCTTTCAAGAAATCACTGGTATAGTAATAACAAAAGGCCAATTGCAGTTTTTTTAAAAATACAAAATATAGTGACGGTAAAGCAGAGGAGATGGCATAAGTCCATAATTTCTCATGTACAGAGAAAGAATTGCAGCTCTTAATTAAAACAGGTAGAAAGAGAGAGTTTATTGGACCTCCCCGGGAAGCAAATTCCATTATTCCAGTGCTAAGACCAACGAATCCCTAACTTTGGAGAAATCAGGACTTCAACAGGATTCCTGACTACACGGCGTTCTTTGTCACATTATGCCTCTTAAAACGGCCTGGAGATTTCAAACATGTGCACCTTATTTTCACAAAAGGAAGGGTAGGTGAATACCTTTTACTGGGCCACCATGAAAATCATATAAATTGCAATTGTTTTCATTAATATATGCCTATTTGGTTGGTTCTGAAAATGACAGTGCTGTGCATTTGGGATTTTTATTTTTTTGGTTTCTAACCACGTAGCTTACTTTGTTTCATTAAAAAAAAGTTGGTTATAAAGCTTTACTTGCATAGCCTTCCTGTCAGAAGGTACCACAATATGACTGCCCTCTACTGGAAATTGAGGAATGGATGCTTTGTAGTACCAGTAGCTGGCTAGGTCCTTTGTGTTACCTTGACGTCTGCAAGCTGAAATCTTTATCAGCTACAGGAGGCAGTTTTTCTTTGGTGGGAAGATTAGTGCGCCTTATAGGCAGGTGGCTCAAACTCAGAGTTTTGGTTGGGGCTGGAGTTTTAAAAATAGAATAGCTGACAACTAGCAAATCAGCTTATGCCCTGTTATGTATCTGCATTCCATTTTGCTGTGTCTGAATGCAAAGAGAGACATTCCTAAAGGATTACGTAGGCGCAGTAAAATGTTTTCCCCCATACAATGCTTATTTACTGAAAGAACACCATGATCGCCCACTCTTAATCATTCATAGTTATAGGATTTCAAGCTCAGAAGTGGCCGGTCAAGAGGCAGGTTAGAAACTCTTTAGTATTGGACAACTTGAAGTTTTCTGCCACAAATCCTGTGGCTTTGCATAGTATGTTGAACTAGAGTTTGTTGTGTTATGTGCTGTCAAGTCACCTCCAACTTATGGTGACCCTATGAATGAGGGATCTCCAAAATGTCCCATTCTCAACAGCCCCTGCTCAGCTCTAAGCCTGTGGCTTCCTTTAGGGAGCCAGCCCACCTCATATTTTGGTCTTCCTCTTTTCCTGCGGCTTTCCAGCTTTCCCAACATGATGGTCTTTTCCAGAGAATCCTGCCTTTTCAGGATGCGCCCAAAGCGACAGCCTCCGTTTCAACATTTTTGCCTCTAGCAATAGATCAGGCTTGAGTCGATCTAGGACCCACTTGTCTTTCTGGCCGTCCAGGGTATCCACAAAGCTGTCCTCCAGCACGACATTTCAAACCAATCGATGTTCTTTCCTGTCGACTTTCTTAATTTTCCAGCTTTCACACACCTATACGTGGTGATCGGAAATACAGTACAAGAGTGTGAACCTATACATGGTGATTGGAAATACAAGAGTTTGAATGGTCTTCGTCTCCAGTGACACGTCCTTACGCTAAAAGTTGGCTCATTGAACCATATGTTCCATTGACTCAAATGGGCGCCGACTCTGGTTGTGACTTACTTTGCAGTCACAGTTCGTTTTAAACTATATTTTTTACCTCCATATGTTCCATTGACTCAAATGGGTGCCGACTCTGGTTGTGACTTACTTTGGGGTCACAGTTGGTTTTAAACTATTTTTTTAATGGAGTAGCTATTTAGAAGTTTTATGCTTTAAGTCAACTCTGGTGATTTACACTCGCTTGCTGGAAATCTTGTCATTTGTGGAGGCAGGTTGCTGTTCGTTAAAAGGTGTTGGTTCTGTTCCTCTCTGTCCACGGGCTGCCCAGATTTACATCAGTTCCATGACACAAATCTATCACTGATAGGGTTTGAGCCATTCTTTTATTTTAATGTCTTACACCAAACGGCTTTGGAGAGGTTTTACCTAGAAAGGCAGTATAGAAATATTTTGAGAATAGTAGTAATAATGGAATACTTTGTTTTTATCATTTGTCCTGTCCAAATCATAACCACTCATAAAGATTCAGGAAGGGCCAGGTTCCTTGGTGGGAAATGATGTGGTCCTGTCTGTTTGTGCATCTCTTTGGAATCTTTATCCATCCTATCTCTTTCACAAGTCTAGCCGTTCTTATCAGACGCTAGGCAAGCCACGAATAAAGGATTTCTGGATTCCCTCTAATCGGTGCGCCGTCTGGTTTGTGCGTGTGTAAGAGTACGATGGTAATGTTTACAACTTGTTTTTATAGATAACAAAGTCCTGCCAACTCAAATCCCAGGTGGCCCTTCTGGGAGGGCTGATGGCTTTCTTTGACTACGTGAACAGAGTCCTGTTGTTATGGAGAATGCTTGTCTAGTCAATAGCCAGGCCCTCTGTGGTCCTTGTGGAATTGTATAAACTACAGAAAAAACCCAGGCTTAGCAAAACCAAAACAGATGCTTGATAGAGAATTTGGATCTGCTAGCACAGACAAAAGATGATGTTGCATGGAAAGCAACACAGCATAGGCTACAGTTCCCCAAATCTTACAGTCAAACACAGCCATCGGCAACAACTGGCTGCAACTGGGTGCTTCCACCTGGTGAATAAACCAAATGAATAACCCCTAACTTGTGCTAAAGGCTGCTATGTCCTTGAAGGACCACGTCTCTCATCATGAATCTGCTCACATGTTGAGGTCATCAGGAGAGGCCTTTCCTTCAGTCCCACCATCCTCACCAGTGTATTTGATGAGGACACAGGAAAGGTCCTCTGTCGCTGCCCCCAGACTATGGAACTCCCTCCCACTGGAGGCCAGGCTGGCCCCATCTTAGCTGTCCTTCCGCAAGCAGACCAAGACCTCTCTCTTCAGACAAGCTTTTTCCTTAGGGACTGACTGTCTAGAAGATAAAAAACAGGATGATTAATAATTGTTTCTAAATCTTTTTTTTTGTAATGCTTTTACCCAACATCTTTAATATAATATTTTTTATTTAATATTTGAATCATTTCTTGTTATAGCTTTTAATATTGTGTTTTTAATGTTGTAGGGCACCTTGGGTCCTTTTTTAAAGGAGAAAGGAAGCATAAAAATATTTTAAATAATTAGGGAAAGGAAGGAAACACTATTTAGCCTGATGTGGAAAGAAAATGAAACAAGGATAAATGTTAGGTGGAAGCCTAAGCTGCACATATGAGCAAATGCTGATCTCGATTCTTTTGTAGCCTGTTTTAACGGGACTGACTGAAGACTGGCTATCTCACCAGAAAATATATATATTCTGGATGATCACATTGGATCCTGTTTTCTAATGTTCAAAAAGTTTATTCTGGAGCAAGGAAAGAATAGTACAGAACCAAACAGAATGGTTTCCAGCGAGGAATTTTAAAATGCAGCTCGGCCTTCAAAACGTCTGGCATGCCAGAACGGTCCATTTGCCA